GTAGTTTACGGTATTATATTTTATTTTTAACTGAAATACTGTACATATGTAAATAACTCTTGACAGGAAGAAAAGATATTAATGTAATATTAGCCTCCTATCATTGAACAAAACAAATACATCATTTAAATTTATGCTCCACTTTGAGTTGTGGCAAATATAGCCCAATTTGTTTACTTTTGAAAAATGTGATAAAGAAATCTACTAAAGAATGATTTGTGGCAGTCTTTTGTATGTTTGTTATAAACTCTGTTTGGAACTTTTTTTCATCCCCTCCCCTTCTTGCAGGACTGTAGCTATAAAGCAATGTGTTGGTCTTTGATAGAGGCATGTTGCAGAAGGAATTCATTTTTAGGTGGATATAGTATTATATGCTTAAGAACTCAGGAAGGAAATTGGTCATTGAGATGCATGGACATTGCCTTTATACTTAATGCTTTAGAATCTTAACAACAAAAAAATAGGAAACCAGTTGTGATCAGTCCATATACTTGCCCACAAATGCCAGTGGTTTGGGGTATTAAATGATGATACTCTAATACTTTCAACAATAAAGATAAATTTAAAAAAATAAAAAATTATGATACTCTTCAAATTGATCTAAGTATACAGAACTTAGATTTCATGCTTTTACAATTCGAACCAAGAAAGATGCTCTAGAATTTAAATAGATTTTCTTATTAGTAATTCAAGGTTCTATAAACATTAAATTAAATAATGTATGCTCATGCTACTGTGTTTCCATGTGTCTCTTCTCAAAGGTGGGCATAAGGGAAGGAAGGGGCTGCCAGAGAGGTCCAAGGGCAGCTGCCAAGGGCACGTCAGCTGTGTCCATGCTTCCCTTGGAGCTGTCTTTTCTTTGTTTTAAATAAAATATCTGGGACCACATATTGAATTTCCAGGTGTCCAGGATCCTCTCCCCTTCCCCAGTTCCATGGAGCTGCTGCTTTGAACAGAAGGGGAGGCATTTCTGGCACCAAAGAAAACAGGATGCACTTGTGGGAATCTCACAGTGTAACCAGGGTTGCGTTTTGGCAACTTCAGCAAAAAGTGGATTAATAAATCGGAGGCTACATATTAAGAAAAACAACTTCAATTCAGTTTGTGTTCAATTCTTGCCTACAGTAAGTAGATGGAGGTAGTGTTTGCTTCAGTAACAAGCGATTTTTTTTTTATTGCCTAGAAATTGAGATTGCTATGTTGTTCAAATTTGTTGATATAGAAGCCAGAGTAGAATTATTCAAGTGTAATCTTGTATTCTGTGAAGAGCTTAATTTTCCATTAAGGAAAAAAGATTAGCTTCTGTTTGTGTTGTGATGTGTGGAATTCGCACGCTGAATCAAATGTGCTGGTAGACATTCTAGAGACTCTGTAAATAATTCAGCCTTTAATGTGTCAGTTTATACGTTAACAGTTTTCTATGATGTGAATGTCTTTCCAAGGCAAAGATTTTTTTGTCTGTGACTAATTTCTCTGCAAAAAGTATGCTTAAAGCTTATATTTTATTCTTTTTTATTTCATTTTTATAACCACTGAGCTTTCACTATGATTGTTCTGGTTCCTGTGCCTTCTGTTTCTCCCCATCATTAGTTTTGTTTTTTTTTTACTCCTCACCTGAGGATATTTTTTCCATTGATTTTTAGAGAGAGTGGAAGGAAGGGGGAAAGACAGAGAAAAACATCAATGTGAGAGAAACACATAGATTGGTTGTCTCCTATATGAGCCCAGTCCACAGCCTGGGCCAGGGAGGAGCCTGCAACCAGTATGTCCCCTTGACAGGAATCAAACCCGGGACCAGCTGACACTCTATCCACTGAGCAAACTGGCTAGAGCCCCCATCACTCTAGCTCAGGGGTGGGCAACCTTTTTGTGAGTGCGTGCCAAAACCAGCAAAATCTCTGACTCAAAATTCTTCTGCATGCCAACCCTATTTTTTTGAGAACATGTTCCGCCTACTTGATATCTCTTAAGGTGTACGTATGTGAAGAACCTTGAAGGAATAATAAACTTCATTTGAGCGACAAACAAACATTCACAAGCGTATGTGGATGAAACCAAATCACTGGTTGGATCTAGGAAGGCAGGGAGAGTTAAGGCAGAGGCATAGAAATTGTTCTTCCCCTCTCTTGTCAATCCGTGTCTATGGTCTTTAAGATAACTTGTTATGTAAAATTATTTATCTAAGATGCACCTACACTGAATTTATCTGAAAAATAAAGTTGATATTAAGAAAAAATTGTAAATGGAAGATTATAAGAGAGGGTTTCGTGTGCCAGCAAAAGTTACTGGAGTGCCATGTTTGGTACCGTGCCAGGGGTTGCCCACCCCTGCTCTAGCTCTTCATGTATGAACTGTTCATGGGCCCAGGGGTGGGGTGCTTGGGATTTGACCATCACAAGTGAGCTTCCCATTTACTTGAATGCCGGGCCTCCTCTCTGGTGAATTAATGGAAAAGCACAAGATGGTTTCATAAGATCGAGCTCCCTTAAAAGCTATTCTAACAATAGAGCCTTTGCCACGTGGACAGTGCCCTTTGTTGAGTGTTTTTATCAGCACCTTTCTCACTCCAGTAATTCCAGAGCATTTCAGAATTGGTGGGTTTTGATGCAGCTTTGCGAACTCATGAAGGTCTGTCTGTCTCCCACTTCTGGAGTGGCCGCGCGCTCCGCTACTCTCGCCCCCTAAATCTGCTGAAAGGGGTCATATTTCTGCAATGTTTGTTTTTTTATTTATGCTAGAAAAACGGTTTTTAAGCAGGACTAAAGACTGCCTGAAGCTTGATTTAGAGCCTTGTTCAGCATAATTCCTCCAGGTAGTTGCTCCCCAATTAGCAAAGATTGTATTTTACAGAGAGATAAAGAGGCCACAGTTCCTAGCAGCGGTCAGAAGCTGCCTGGTTTTCCAGGTTAAAGGAAGTGACACTAAGAGCAGCTTGCAAGCTTGGCGATGGAGTGGGGACTTGGTGGGAGCTGGGGGGCGGGGGCGTGGCGATGCTTCTGGGTTGATGTCAGTAAAGCTTCCCATTGTCGTAGGGAGCGCCTGTGCCCTCCGCTGACTTAAGATCGTCACGGCCACGTGAGCTGCGCCGCTGTTTACCGCGGGGCCTCAGGCCCACAGAGGGGGCGGCGATGACGCGCGGCCTCTGAGCTAAGCGGTGACGCACGACGGGGACGGGGCGGGCGGCCGAGGG